GGATGAATGTGACTATAGTTAGCTGATGAGAATATAAGTGGTTTTAATGCCTGCCTCCTGTTCGAAATGTCCACAGAATGTTTCGCCAGAAAACTCGATTTCGAACTGTGATTATCATCTGGCGATTTTTCAGCGTTATTTTCACAACAAAACCTTTCATTCTCTCGATTGCCAGACAAAACGTAAATGCGGAAGCTTCTTTTCTTTTTTCTTGGAAGTTGACACCCATCCCCATTTTTTCAGCTATTGAAAAGCATCTGATATTTTTCATGGGTGAATTATTTATCAATGTCAATCTTTTATTTAAAAGCTAGAAAATTTGAGATCATTAAAAAAAAATTCTTCACGTAAATCAATTTTTTTCTTCTGCAAATTTTCGAACGGGAGGCCGGCATTAAAATCACCCATATTCTCATCAGCTAAGTAGCCACATTCAGCCCTCAAAATGCCAGACAAAAAAAAATGACTCCACTAAACAGCCCCTATCTCACAGTCTATTGTGAAAAAGCTGTAAAAACCGCATAAAATATAACCGGCCTAATCTAAACGAATGTAAATAAATGATTTGTTTTACCTCAGGGCGACTGTCAAACTCATTTGTGACGTCACATGGACATGCCCTAGGGCATGATTTTTGTTGGAAAAACCCTGAACTTAATCCATTATAGAAAAACCTAGCAAACTTCTGGATAAAAGACTGGAACATAAACACGTTATTTTAACTTTTTTAAAACAAAATAACACAAAAATTTGCAAAAAAGCTGTGAAAACCGCATAAAACATAACCGGCCTAATCTAAACGAATGTAACCTAAATGTCCATGTGACGTCACAAATGAGTTTGACAGTCGCCCTGAGGTAAAACAAATCATTTATTTACATTGGTGTAGATCGTGTAGATCAGGCCGGTTATGTTTTATGCGGTTTTCACAGCTTTTTTGCAAATTTTTGTGTTATTTTGTTTTAAAAAAGTTAAAATAACGTGTTTATGTTCCAGTCTTTTATCCAGAAGTTTGCTAGGTTTTTCTATAATGGATTAAGTTCAGGGTTTTTCCAACAAAAATCAAAACCAAGTGTCACAAGAACAAATATATAAGTATAGTTACTCTATAATTCAATCTATTTTTCTGTCAGATCTTCTCTTTTAACAACATTAATCAATTTTTCTCTTCTTTCTTGAGCTAACAAATCAAATCTCCCATTGTTATTTAAAATTGATGGGAACCTATGGAAGAATATTGTATCCCTTGCGCTATACTGCTAGAATTAACAACAAACAAACTCTAGAGTTCTTTTCACGTGGCTCCGGTTTAACTAACCGGGTTACAAAACGGTTAGAGAAATGACATACCGTTTTCTAAACCCGGCTACAAAGTAACGTTATGGATACCTACCACTCGAATTTGAGCGGTGTGTTGCGGTTTGTTAAACCGGAGCCACGTGAAAAGGGTTTAGGCATGTCCAAGAAACTTCTGGACCACACAAAAAGTATTTAATTAAAAAAATCTAACTAAAAACCTAAAAAACCACTGTAAATATATCTTTGTTTTACCTCAAGGCGACTGTCAAGAGTGTCAAACTGTCAGATCGTGTACTTGCCCTATAGCCCTTAAACGCTTTGTTTGTCCCCCCATCGAAAGTGAGGTTATGTGTGTGACGTCAGCTAGTGCCTAATCAATTATTCATTATTCGATTGAGTTCAAAATTGTCTGTTTATTCGGAACTCCAGAGTACAGCCTCCTACGATTAACGAGTAGAATTTCATACGAATCTCGATATGCATTCGATCACATATTGCCATTTTTCTCGAAAATAATGTTTTTACCTTGAAAAATTCAAGGGACAAAAATATTCATAAACTGAATGGGCCTAACTTAACCGATTAATATTTTTTGAAAAATTCAAATACGCAACCAAAGTTTTGAGGCTCCAAAGCCCCTGTCTTCGTCCACACAAAAAAAGTCTTAAGGGGGTCTTCCGCCTAAAAACGTAGCACCTTCGTAGCACCGTACCATACATTTCTTCATGTTGACAGTTGACATGTTATAAAAAAAACCCCTGAAACAAACATAAGGTGCTTTCCAGTGACCCATTTGAGTTACTCCTGAGCAGCTCAGGAGTGCTCCACAATTACTTTGCGCGTTCCAGTGCTTAGAGTGTCGTACACTTGAACTACTCATTTCTGTTATCTCCTGCCCCCTCGTGCACCAACCTTTATATCGGTGTTCCATGCTCCTGAAGTCCGAAATGGTGGGGGTTAAGACGAGAGCGTTCCGTGCTGCTTATAGTTGTATTCCTTTCACACCTAGGAGGAGCTCCGGAACAGCTCCGGGGCTTCACGCCCCTATTCCTTTCGAAAAGTGTTTGTTGCACCACGCATCTGTTCCCTGCAAATCGGGGGCGACTGAACACCGGAGCGAGTAGCTCGAGTGTTTCAAACTCTTGAAAGGAATACAACTATTGTCGAACAGTTCAAGAGCGTCACACTCCAGGAGCATGATACTCTAAGGGCCGTTTTACACGGCAAAGTTTCTTTACGAAATTACTCACGAAATTGTTGCCGAAATATTTCGTAAGTCAACTTTTCCTGTTTTAAGCCTAGTACTCATAACTGCGAAATTCGCATTTTTTTGACATTGCTTCGACAAATTGACGTTTGATACACGCATAAAACGTCAAATTGTCAACGCAATGTCAAAAAAATGCGAATTTCGCAGTTATGAGTACTAGGCTTTACACGACAAGAAAAACTTACGAAATATTTCGCCAATAAACTTTCGAAAATGTTCTATAGTTTTTGTGGGCGCGGCCGAGAAAATGCGTGAGTTTCGGCGTACACAATTACAAAATAAACGGGGCTTTCTTTTCCATCGAACTTTATGAATCCGTCAATAAATTTCCTATGTAAAGCCTAGTACTCATAACTGCGAAATTTGCATTTTTTTGACATTGCTTCGACAAATTGACGTTTGATACACGCATAAAACGTCAAATTGTCAACGCAATGTCAAAAAAATGCGAATTTCGTAGTTATGAGTACTAGGCTTAAAATATAAAGATAGATTGCTTATCGGTGGAAAAAATTTGTTCCGCCCAAAAACATAGGGTGGGAGGGAGAGTACCAGCTGGTCAAAGCCAAAGGTAAACAAAACTTTAATTATGGAAGGAACACAGAAATTCAACTTAATAAAACTGCAGAAGAGTACAAAAATTCAACAACAATTAGAAAACGAAAGTTTTATTTGTTTGGTTTTGGTTTACCAAGATATGATATGAGGTTATGATTTAATATTATTGATGGCAAAACGTAACTGCGCTTGCGTATGACTAATATTTTCACGAAACTTTTGCTAAATTTTATTTGCCGTGTCAAACAGGAAAAAGCGAAACCAAAAATAGTAAACTTACGAAATATTTCGGCAATAATTTCGTAAAGAAACTTTGCCGTGTAAAACGGCTCTAACAATTTGGGCACTAGAAAGCAGCTATTGTAGGCCTTTACGGAAACGCTGATCCGATTAACCCGATCATAGATACTATTTGTTTTTCATCTTTCTTGAATGAATACGATCGGAAAAAAAAAATTACATCAGCTAGTGATCGGGTAATCGGATCAGCGTCTCCGTAAAGGCCTTGTGATTCTCGTACACATACTGACCGTGCGTTCGGTAATTTGATCTGAGTTCTCCGAACATGAATTTACCGTTCATTTAAAAAGTGTACTCGGAGCAGGCTCAATCACGTTCGTTTATTAAAATTTCGAGCCCTCTGATCAATGAACTATAACCAAAAACTGGAATGCTAACACATAAGGACGAACTTGAAGCCTAGTGCGGCTGCTGCGGAGGGGATACCTGTTTTTGTCGCACTCATTATGTTAAATGGCGAAAATTGCTTCCAACACGTATTCCAATTGATGAAACCTGTGAAGGGAAATATGGCAAAACTTTCGAAAACGTCATATGTCAGCGAGCAACAGAAAAAAACAACATTCCCCCTTGTGGCATCTGTCTTTCATGGCTTCATTTTTTTGGCAGATATGGCAATGTGTGCGCATTCCAGTTTTTAGCTATAGTTCATTGCCTCTGATACAGCGTTTAACTGCTCCGAGCGTTCACTGGTCACGTGATTACGGCTCCGCTCTGCACGCTTTGCTCCTTGAGCAAAATAAATACTGAACGCGAGGTGAGAAATTAAAAAAAAAAAACTAAGTATTCTTGGGGACAATTTTAGGGGGTAGTAATTACGAAAGAGGAGGGCCGTTTACCAAAAATTGAAAATACGGGTCCCCTATCACTGGTCAATGCGATCATGAGGCGGTTACACACGGACGTGGATGTCTGCAAACATGTACGCACATACATGAACGTGCAAACAAAAACATCAATGTGTATGCAAAATACCGTCGCGTTTTTGAATGTGCAATTTTGTATGCACACTCGGAACACCGTAGCAAGAATAGCAAGACTGCAGTTTTGTTCGAGCGTCTGTACAAAAGCGTCATGCACGTTTTTGTTTGCACGTTGATGTATGCACGTATATGTATCAAGCCATCCACGCCCGTGTGTAACCGCCTAAGCAAGACTGCAGTTTTGTGCGAGCGTCTGTACAAAAGCGCCATGAGGCGGTTACACACGGACGTGGATGTCTGAAAACATGTACGTACATACATGAACGCGCAAACAAAAACATCAATGTGTATGCAAAATATCGTCGCGTTTATGAATGTGGAATCGCTAGAAATTTTGTATGCACACTCGGATTACTGTAGCAAGAATAGCAAGACTGCAGTTTTGTGCGAACGTCTGTAAAAAGGTGACATGCACGTTGTTGTTTGCACCTCAGGTTTGCACGCTGATGTATGCACGTATATGTATCAAACATCCACGTCCGTGTGTAACCGCCCTTTGGCACGGCAATGAACTCCGCTGCTATTAGTCTATCTCTCTTATTACAAACGTGCTTAACAAAGAAAAACATACTCTAACCACCATATGCAAAACTAAAAAGGAAAGACATCAAAGTCATAAGTCAAGACGACATCTTACATAACCTCACAAAAGAAAGAATCTAATCAAATCAATCTAATCCAACCACCAAATAAACAAATTTCGAAATTCCAAATAAAAATAAGGATAGTATAGTATAGTGTGAAATTTTATCAACCAAATATGAGATAAGATGTTTAGTTCCTACAAGAACCATGATGACGACCGAAGTGAGTCGACCGACCAAAATGATACTAAAACAAAACATCCTGGAACATGTACATGTTGAACACCTGATAGCGGGTACCACTGCAGGGGTCGCCGCAACTCTTATGTTACACCCACTGGACGTAATCAAAATAAGGTTCGCCGTTCACGATGGCATACACAGCATTCCAAAGTATACGAGTATTGCAAATGCCTTTTCCACCATACAAAAAAAGGAAGGCTTTCGGGGGCTCTACAAAGGAGTTTTACCGAATGTTTGCGGCGCTGGTTTATCCTGGGGTCTGTATTTCTTTTTCTACAATTCTATAAAAGATTTTATGCAAAGTACTACGAAACATGCGAATTTGGGTCCCGGATATCATTTGTTAGCCGCTTCACAAGCTGGACTTGCTACTTTACTTATTACTAATCCAGTCTGGGTTGTTAAAACAAGGTAAGTAATAATCATAGTGACCTAAGATAGTCTCATTGTGTATACAATTGGTATTTTTTTTTGTAGGTTATGTCTTCAATTCTCCAGTGACCTTAAACTAGAAAATTCATCCCAATGTTACAACGGAATGTTGGATTGTTTAGCAAAAATATACAAAACTGAAGGTATTCGTGGTTATTATAGAGGTTTAGTACCAGGTATTTTTGGTGTTTCGCACGGTGCTGTGCAATTTATGGTATATGAAGAAATGAAAACTAATTATTACCAGTATCATAATTTACCTAAAAGTAATAAATTAGGTAAGTGCATTAGGTCATCTAACACTAAAGTATATTAATTTGTTTCAACTTTTCAGGTACAATAGAGTATTTAGCATTTTCTGCTAGTTCAAAATTGCTTGCAGTCTTAGCAACGTACCCCTATCAAGTTGTTAGAGCACGATTACAAAATCAGCATTACTCATACGAAAATGCCACAGATTGTGTTAAAAAAATGGCCAAATTTGAAGGGTGGCGAGGTTTTTATAAGGGTTTAAGCACAAATTTGATTAGGGTAATTCCCGCTACTATGATAACATTTGTGGCTTATGAAAATATTTCGTATTTGTTATTGAAATATAAAAGCTAAAGAGTCACAAAGAGAAAATTGATCAAAATAATGATAATTATAATGACTTTATTTTATTGTAATGAAGGTTCAGTTGGAGCAAGCTCCCTCAAATAAGTTAAGTTAATCGGAATAATTATTGTAAATTTTATATTTTTATTTTTGTGCCATTGTTAATTGTTATTGCATGTGAATTTTAGAGGGAATAGGTTCGATTCTGTTAACATTTTTCTGTTGCCTATTCATTAAACATAGTTGTTATAGCAGAAATTATCGTTTGTCTTAGTCTATTTTCATATGACTATCCAGTACCTAATAATGATTGTGATTTAATATGCCCACAATACTACAATTAGCGAAATATGTATAAACACATGTTAGGAACTGTCATTGCAGAGAACTATGAAAGTAAAAACTTTCACATGGCAATTTTTGAATAATTCTTTATCTAATGAAATGAGACTTACCTTGTGCACCATTATTGGCATTTTTTTCATCAATAGACAAATTCCTAAATCCTGATCTCACTGAATCATCATAGCTGCTACTTTCTTCATCGTCGGATGGCTTATTATTGTCAATGCTGTTGGTAATTACATTACAGTTTGCTGTATCTGGAAAAATTGTGTATTTATTATTGGTGAGAAATTATTTTGAACAGAGATAGTGACAAAAATAAGATCAAAAGCATTGTTTGATTGAAAATATTAAGATTTGTAAACCGTCCTACAGTAACGGTAAAACCGATTTGGTTGATCTATAAAGAGATCCAAACAGAAAGATTCTCCCTTTTTGCATAGCACCTGTAGTCTGTAGTTTAGGGTCTTCTATTATAGTTCTGTTGAAGTACTGTACAGTCCTATAGAGTACTGTTGAAGGTCTGTTTAAAAATGTGTACTCTTATAACTCTAGAGTCCTAAACCCCTTGACTTCAACTAATTTTGAGTTCCGAAAGGTATAGGCTCAAAATCAAATAACAAAACTTACCCAAATTACCATTATCATCGTCATCATCGCCCCAATCATCTGCCTCAGGACACCAATCAGTTGAACTGAGTTTAGGACCTGAAGCGACACTTTCCTTGGGCTCTGTCACTTCTATGTTTTTGGCTTGAACTCTCAGGCATGTCCAACTTAAAAATAAATTAATTTTTAAATCTGTACTGACAAGTTTGTAAATAAGTTACTGCACCTTTCACTTCTATTATGGCATGTAGGATTGATACAGGCAAATACGTAGAGTGTTCGATGGTCTTTTGTGTTTTCTAATGGGGCGTATATCTGGACTATTTGACGGCTAGGAAGATTGCATAGTATGCAGAGGAGTAGTTTTTCAATTTTATTGATTAGGTGAGGAAAGTCCTGAAATAAATTTGATGGTTATCCAACTTAGTTAATCCAAGACATTTACTTAATTCATTAACATTTACTTAGATCTTGAGAAAAAGAATAATTTCACATTTTTGTTTAGTATTCTGATATTATGTCAAAGCTTTCGTTATTCTTTCACGCACTTTATATTAAGTGCACCCTACAGAACCAATTTCTAGATGTAGAAATAAACCTAAACAATAATGATATGCAAATTTATAACTAATCAAAAACATAAAGAATACAGCTTTTGTAATTATGTACTGATTTCTCTTTTTATTACATTCAGAGCAATATTGAAAAGATCTACATGAGAAAAGTCCTAATTGTAATTAGTCACTAGACGCGTCATGATGTAATTTAGACCATAGTTAGTTCTCTGCACATGTAGGATAAAGAAGAGCTGCCTCTGTCGGGTTGTTCTTTCAGGAACCAGAAATTCAATTTTTATCAGAAGTTTGGGCGAGTTGATAATGTTCTGCAGAATTGTGTAGAGAAAAATGAGCTGGGCGTTTTTGCGTCGACTTTCAAGGCTGGGTATGCCGCAGAGCTGTAGAGAAGTCTCATACTCAAGGTTCTGGTAAGGAAATCTCAGTTTGTAGAGAAGGTATTTGGCAACTTTTTTTTGCACTCCTATCCTTCAAATGTGACATACATATCAGGTCTTCAAAAAAAAACAATCAAAGATTTTTTAATGCGAAAATGTAAGGTCTGTCGATTTTAATCTGATATTCCAAAAAAAATGTGAGCTGGTGGCTCCCTACATTAAAACGCCAATAGTCACCTGTGTCCCTATTCTTGAAACAGGGGAGCAGCGTTCCCAGGAGAACGGGTGTTCTGTCTTTTTCAACAATATACAACTGATAATATAAGTAACAAAGACGGAACACTCGTTCTCCTGGGAACGCTGCTCCCCTGTTTCAAGAATAAGGACACTGATGTCACACCTGTTTTTGCCATAAGCTTCACTCCGTCGCTTCTCATATGGAAAGTGTCAGACTGAAAACGTTGACATTAAATTTCATTGACAAAATCAAAGAAAAATATTGCTTGGCGATTTGCATTTGTCAATTTGCTGATGATACCACAATAGTTTGGCATCATAAAGACACTGTCATGCTGACTGCTATGGTGAACGATGACTTAGCGAGAATCAAAATGTGGTGTGACTCCAATCGGCTGTCATTTAATATTCAAAAGACATCCATCATGCATTTTAAATGTAATCTTGGTAATGTTTTTCTGGATGATACTATTATAGGCAGAAGCATGGAGACCAAATATCTTGGCCTGATTGTTGATGAAAAATATCGTCAGCATGCTTTGCTGTTAGAACTGTCAAGGCTGAGCTGGCCGAATCAGTTGCTAGACGGGTGTATTTTTCTTTGATTGAGTCACATCTTAGTTATGGCATTTGCTTCTGGGGTTCTTGCTCATTAACATTGTTCAACATCATATTTGTTCTCCAGAAGCGTGCTATAAGGTCATTATGTGGCCTTAATCCACGAAACTCTTGCAGACCATTTTTTACAGACAGACGGATTTTAACCTTGCCTTGTCGTTTGATTTTAGAATCAGTGTGTCTCATGCAGTAGAAGTACTCCTCTAATATTCATGCTCCCTCCTTGGTCAATACCAGAAGTTCACATGTAATTGATCTACCAATTCCCACATCCTCGCTAACTCAAAAATCTATTCACTATAGGTGTAAGAAAATGTTTAATCACCTACCTCATAGCATAAGAACAATAAAGGAGAGTAGATGTTTCAAGAGACAAGTCAAAAAATTACTTTTGGCTAAGGGTTTTTACTCTGTAGAGGAATACTTCTCATCTCCTCTGTTTAATATCGCAATTACTTCAGCCAAAAAAAAGTTTATCCGAGACTTCTCAGCTATCAATTTGCCAAATAACAAGGGCGCGCGCGACGTTGGGGCAGGGGTATCTTTTTTATCTTGACATTCTTGACTGCGCTTGTGCAACAGAGTCCAAAATGGGAAGCGAGTAACGTGTTCTGTTCCAACAGACATGAGGGCGGTTCCACAACCAGTAATTTCCAGTTGCCCACCTATTTTTCAATAAGTTGAACGTTTATCCCAATCGACAAATTAATTGATCTACTGGAAATTACCGTTCTAGAACGGGTAGAGCACCACAAAATAATAGTAAGTTTACTTCATCCAGCCACGAGCCGGACGGCTGGAAAAGTATATGCAATAACTGAGGTACAAACAGCAATAGAAGATATGAAAGAAGTTATTCTGCCTTAGACAGAAAAGGGAAAAAAATTGTATACCTACATGCAGTTACAGAAAAATTCCACCTTAAGGAATACGGTTTGCGAGATATTAATGTACCTATAATCAATTACAAGTAAACATGTAAAAATTAATTAAACATTAGTTTCGATATTTTTTGTTCTAGAGGGTCGTTCTATACATCAATGGATTTACAATTTTATCACCTACGAAAAAATTGGTAACCATATTTTTCGCCAAGCTTATAGTTTTTGGTTAAAATCAGTAAATTCGTGTCATTCAAGAACTTTCAATTAATCTCGGAACAAACTTTCTTTTGATACGCCACTGGTGTGTACCACGTGATAATATATGGCTCGCAGTACGTTGTTTGTCAGCTTCAAAAATGCTCTTTTGACATTTTTTCTTAAAGTGGATAGTTTTCGAGAAAATCACCAAAATATTAAAAAGGGACGTTTGGGGGCGAAAAAAGGGGGTTGCGGAAGGAGGATTCTCCAGGACTTTTAGTATATTACTATTAAGCCCTAAATTATGATATATATTGCTACGAAATTGTTAATGCCAGAAAAAAACGGCGTCCGCCAGGCTGTCAAGAATCGATGGCAGAAATACTAGAATCTAGCGAATTATTCTACTTTAATCTGGAAAATTAGATTATCGTGTGTATTCTAGATTTCACAGGAATAGATTTAGGGATATATAAGAAGGCCGGCATTGGTTTGTAAGTTAGTTTCAGTTCGACTGTGATACGATTTAAATAGTGATTGTAAAGAGTTTAATTGTTGAGTTAGTAAAGTAATTAGTGTCAGAATGTTTTGTTAAGTGGAATAAATTATTGCTGTGTTAATTGGACTTTGATTTTTGGAATAAACGAAACGAACGACGAACCCAAGATTTTTGTCAGCAGGCAACCCAAAGCCGCGACAATATTAAAAATTTGCTTTATATTATTTTTGTCTAGCTTTAAACAAAATTTGGACTATCTTGACTCGGGTAATATATGTCTTTGGTATTTTGTTTGATGAAACCCAGAAGTCTAGAACTTTGTATGACTGTGTTGTCGATGTGTGTTTGTTGAAAGACAGGTCTTTTTCAAAGGTGACTCTTAGGTCTTTGAAAATGCCGACTGTCTCCAGATTGGCGTTGTTGATGGTGTATGTGGGCAGTATAGGATTTACGGTCTTGTGAAAAATGATGTGTTTGAACTCATTGAGTTTGAGAAAATTTGAGTCGCACCAAGCGACCAACCTGTCCAAATCCGGCTGGAGAGAGGTAGAGTGCCCATCGCTAACTGCGAAAAACTTCAAGTCGCAAGCGTAAAGTAAGCAGTGGGATGATTGGATGATGTCATTTATGAAAAGAACAAAGAGAATCGGTCCAATGTGCGATTCCTGAGGGACCCCGGATAGAACTATGAACTCGTGAGATACTGCACTACACACACCAACTCTTTGAGATCTTTCCGTTAAGTATCGCAGTCATCAAAATAATTTACCAAAAGTAGTTTCTTTATTATATATATCAGATATAAAGAAGTCATAAATATTAATACAGATAAGAATATGTGGTTATGTGGCATCGAAATTCGTTTACGAAGCCAAAATTATTATGTGTACTGTGTGTACCACTCACCAAGTGCTAGTGATGCTGAATTCCTGAATGCCCTTAATGATTTTTTTGATGATATCAGCCTGGATAAAACATTCATAGTGATAGGTGACTTCAATATTGATCTGACAAAAAATAGCTTTTATGCTGGAAAATTGAATGAATTAATTAACAAATATGGTTTGTACCAAGTGATTGAGTTGTGCACCCGCATAACAAAGCAGTCTGCTACAAAAATTGATCTCATGCTTACTAATAACAAAGAATTAGAACATAAAATACTTGATACGCCAAAAAATAACTGACCACTCTATTATTGAGGTGTATCTTGATGACCAACATAATATAGAATCTAAAGTAAAAAAATATAGAAATTACAAAAATATGGATATAATAGCTTTTCAATTAAGATTAATGAATATGTCCTGAACACAATATAACTCCTCAAATACTAACACCATGGCTGATATTTTAGTTGACAATTTAATTTCTGCACTTGATGAATTTGCTCCAATAGAAGAAAGGGCTATAAAAGAGAACTGTGGTAGCAAATTATGGTGGAATCAGGAAATTGCAGAACAGATTAAGACAAGAGATCAATTATACCAACGAGCAGCAATTACTCATACTGAAGAAGACTGGAAGAACTTCAAAGTACAAAGAAACAGAGTTGTAACTCTTATAAGAAATGTGAAAACTAACTATTTTAATGAGAAGATAGACAGTCTGAAAGGCAACTCTAAGGAAATGTGGAAGACATTAAAAAAAATAGTCAGTACAAAGGAACATGAAAATGAAAAAACTGAAAGAAAATTTGATAATAAAATAGTATCAGGAAATGAGATTTGTGAAAAATTTAATGAGTTCTTCCTGGATAGCATCCGAGAAATTTCAGAAAATATAATGCCAACAAAATCCTTAGAAGACACTGTACAACAAATAGAAACTGAGCATCACATGGAAAAATTTCAGAAAATAGAAATGTTAGAGTTGAGGAGAATTTTCAAAAGAATGGAAAACAAAGAAAGTAACACTGATGGCATAACTGTCCAGCTTCTTAAACATGCATTTGAAACCATAGGTGATAAATTTCTGAATATCATTAATCAAAGTTTGGAGCAAGGAT